ATTATTCTTTCATGTAGGAGATATTTTACTCGATATATATCACAAGCAGTCCCCCGGATGAAAAGAATAAAATTTATGAGCTCTATCAGATTAATTAATCAATTGTTTAATTAACTGCTAAAGGATCGCACCATAAAAAAGCCGTGCATTTTAATTCGAAGAAAATAAAAAGCGAGGAAAATTAAATATAGGATGATAGTACGCATGGCGCCCAAGATTGTGTTATAACACGATCATACAATTCTCACCAATGCACAATCTCATGATCATAGCGCATTCCATTTCTGATATCATCTGCAGAATGAAATGTCTGATGAAAGATAAAACGGTGATTGTAAGTATTGATCCAAGTTCAAAGTAGAGGTACCGAGAAGGTCACGAACAGTATGTGTCCAGATATACCCAGCGCAACTTACTTTAAAAAGAAAGGTACATGCACAGATGTATCCCAAAGTTATTTGCATTACCCTACATTCACCGATGTATACAAGAGTTCCAGGTTCTACGCGGGCACCCGTCACAATTTCCCAGAAATGCCCAACAATTTATACCAGAATATCTATACATATATATTTTTTAATTTCAATAATCACAAAGGTACGTGTAATAATGCAATCAACAGTCTATTCAATGTTTCTCTTTATTAATATACATTCCTCAATCTATTTAAGAGTTTCCGTTATTTCTTTATCTTCATCAATCTATCAAAGAACTCCCTTTATTGCTCTACATTCGCCATGGTATCCCCGAGTTCTATTTCCTATCATTCCCTCCCAAAACTCCTTTTATTACTTTTACATCAAACAACAAACTATCTAAGAGTTCCCTTTACTATTCTACATTCACCAATCTATCCCAGAGTTCCCTTTACTACACTCCATTCATCAATCTATCCCAAAGTTCCCTTTACTACACTCTATCCATCAACCTATCCCAGAGTTCCCTTTACTACACTCCATTCATCAATCTGTCCCAAAGTTCCCTTTACTACACTCCATCCATCAATCTATATCTATCCCAGAGTTCCCTTTACTACACTCCATTCATCAATCTGTCCCAAAGTTCCCTTTACTACACTCCATTCATCAACCTATCCCAGAGTTCCCTTTACTATTCTACATTCATCAATCTATCCCCGAGTTTCCTTTACTTCTATACATTCATCAATCTATCCCAGAGTTCCCTTAACTACATTACAATCATCAACCTATCCCAGAGTTCCATTGACAACACTACACTCATCAATCTATCCCAGAGTTCCCTTTACTACACTACACTCATCAATCTATCCCAGAGTTCCCTTAACTACATTAACATCATCAACCTATCCCAGAGTTCCCTTGACAACACTACACTCATCAATCTATCCCAGAGTTCCCTTTACTACACTCCATTCATCAATCTATCCCAGAGTTTCCTTTACTACACTCCATTCATCAACCTATCCCAGAGTTCCCTTTACTATTCTACATTCATCAATCTATCCCTGAGTTTCCTTTACTTCTATACATTCATCAATCTATCCCAGAGTTCCCTTAACTACATTACACTCATCAATCTATCCCAGAGTTCCCTTTACTACACTACACTCATCAATATATCCCAGAGTTCCCTTTACTACATTACATTCATCATTCTATCCCAGAGTCTCATTTACTACACTACATTCATCAATCTATCCCAGAGTTCCCTTTACTACACTTCACTCATCAATCTATCCCAGAGTTCCCTTTACTACACTACACTAATCAATCTGTCCCAGAGTTACATTTTCTACACTACACTCATCAGTCTATCACAGAGTTCCCTTTACTACACTACACTCATCAGTCTATCCCAGAGTTCCCTTTACTACACTCCATTCATCAATCTATCCCAGAGTTTCCTTTACTACACTCCATTCATCAACCTATCCCAGAGTTCCCTTTACTACACTTCACTCATCAATCTATCCCAGAGGTCCCTTTACTACACTACACTCATCAATATATCCCAGAGTTCCCTTTACCACATTACATTCATCATTCTATCCCAGAGTCTCATTTACTACACTCCATTCATCAATCTATCCCAGAGTTTCCTTTACTACACTCCATTCATCAACCTATCCCAGAGTTCCCTTTACTATTCTACATTCATCAATCTATCCCTGAGTTTCCTTTACTTCTATACATTCATCAATCTATCCCAGAGGTCCCTTTACTACACTACACTCATCAATCTATCCCAGAGTTCCCTTTATTACACTACACTCATCAATCTATCTCAGAGTTCCCTTTACTACACTACATTCATCAATCTATCCCAGAGTTCCCTTTACTACACTCCATCCATCAATCTATCCCAGGGGTCCCTTTACTACATTACATTCATCATTCTATCCCAGAGTCTCATTTACTACACTACACTCATCAATCTATACCAGAGTTCCCTTTACTACACTACACTCATCAATCTATCTCAGAGTTCCCTTTACTACACTACACTCATCAGTCTATCACAGAGTTCCCTTTACTACACTACATTCATCAATCTATCGCAGAGTTCCCTTTACTACACTACATTCATCAATCTCTCCCAGAGTTCCCTTTACTACACTACAGTCATCAATCTATCCCAGAGTTCCCTTTACTACACTACACTCATCATTCTATCCCAGAGTTCCCTTTACTACACTCCATCCATCAATCTATCCCAGAGTTCCCTTTACTACATTACATTCATCATTCTATCCCAGAGTCTCATTTACTACACTACACTCATCAATCTATCCCCGAGTTCCCTTTACTACTCTACATTCATCAATCTATCACAGAGTTCCCTTTACTTCTCTACATTCATCAATCTTTCCCAGAGTTCCCTTTTCTAAACTACATTCACTAATCTATCCCAGAGTTCCCTTTTCTGCTCTTCATTCATCAATTTATCATATAGTTCCCTTTACTATTCTACATTCATCAATCTATCCCTGAGTTTCCTTTACTACACTACACTCATCAATCTATCCCAGAGTTCCCTTTACTACTTTACATTCATCAATCTATCCCAGAGTTCCCTTTACTACTCTACATTCATCAATCTATCCCAGAGTGTTCCCTTTACTACACTACATTCATCATTCTATCCCAGAGTTCCATTTACTACATTGCATTCATCAATTTATCCCAGAGTTCCCTGTAATACACTACACTCATTAATCTATCCCAGAATTCCCTTTAATACTTTACATCTACCAATCTATCCCAGAGTTCCCTTTTCTGCTCCACAAATTCTACATGGTTATTAGTAATTAATTACTTTGCTTTGCGATTAACATTGCTTTTTAACATCATGAGTACATGGACCTTTCCGCTAAAGTACATTGTATATACAGATATCTGGTTATTTGCTGTTCGAGAACAATGTTTTTAACGAAGTCAAGTAATAATGTTATTTTGTCAAGTATATCACTTACGTTTACATTGGTTCAACCGAAGTGGATTAAAACTACGTTGTTGAAATTAAAATTTCATAATTGCAGTCCATGAAGATTTAAGACATGTCCATCGTTTTTACCCAATTGATAATGGGAGCCATCATTATAAGTTGTTTTCCATTTCGTGTTGTTGTCTCCCGTGTTTCGGTTGTTGCCCTTTCGCACAGCGTTTGAGTTTCCCGATATCATTTCTTTGTTAGTATTTGNCCCCCTAGTGATTCTACATATTACGTGTATTACGTATTGTGTATGCGATCAGCAGAAATCTACTATCAACATAATTCATCATAAAATGCATCTTAAAATTATTTAAAATCATGTAAATTTATTCTTAATTCAAATCGGCTCACGCATTCGTGATGTTTAATCAGATTAGTGTACGTATACATTATTTCTTACCGCTTTTCTTACTGAAACTGCTTTACATCGTAATGAACTCCAGGTAACTTGAACCCGGATTTACTTTTTCCGTAACAATTTTCTCCGATGGTAGAATGCCCCTGTTCTCCTCAATCTACATACCTATCGATTCTTTACGTCATATCTCTTACTCAAGCTTTAGTAAATATTGTCACAAAAAATACCTATGACACAATTTTAATCTCTCTTGTTGACCCGGATGTAAGCGCGCGGTATTATAGGTCTAAGTGTGGGAGGGAACCGGATCCCGGAGTACCCATATGGTCGGGCAAGTGACCCAAAAACCTTTTCCGCCTGGAGTGTGATTCCCTAGTGTGGGTGGATACCCGAGTACCCGGAGAAAACCCATGGGTTTTTCTACTTTTATTTTAAAACATTTATATCCCTTACAACTGTAAATCTGTAAAATGTATCGCAAGGTTTGATATGGAATACATCGATCTGTATAAAATAGTTTTAATAATACAGATGTTTTATAACACTGTTTATGGTATTAATACATTTTGAATTGATAGAACTATTTGAATTGTGAAAGATTGTATTTGTATTTATGACCAATGCTCGTCTTACTCCGTGTCATCAACTATTTTGCTAACAAGAAGATCGATGCTCTCTGTCATGGACACATGTTCGCTCGTCCTCTTATAAGATTCAGAAGCTGCAATGCTGTCACAGGCGGGAAGCCGCTCGCGTTACAGTATCCACGTGGTCGAGAGATACAGTGGCTGGGCTCAGTGGCGGTAAATGCGTTGCTCTCTGTTATACCAATCGCTGAATTATGTCCGATTGAGTATCTCAACTCTTATTTCATGCGTCGCTGCCTGTTGGATAACTTGGGATGAGTTGTTTTGATTTCCTGGCCAGTTTCTATTAGACTGGACTATAATCCGTTTACTTGATCATATATAATCAATTAGATATTTTTATTAATTTTACACCTCGAAAATTGAAAAAACTCTTTAAAATGTACATACACGTATTTGTTAAATTTGTAAATTGAAATTGTTTATCGAATTTACCAGTTTTGCTGTGTAAGTATTGATATAATCCAATATCATATCAGGTATTTGTCAAAAGCTTAAATTATAATTTTTCATCTTTCTAAGATTCAAACACCCATTCTATACATTCGATATTCAGTATTAATTTACATCTAAAGATAGACTTCCAGAATCCTTTCGTCGAATTTGATCACCATCTCCTCGTTGGTGTTGGCATGGTTTAAAGCAGAAATGCTAATTGCTAGATATCAGGAACAAATACGAATAGAATTGGGAAATATATGCCAAATATTTGTTTTGGCTGTGACTTTCTGACAGAGAGAGAAATTTAGATTTGCATTTTTGTCATACTTGAACAACTCCGTGGCGTAAACAGATATATCAGTTCCTCGAAGCGCGTATTCCGGTGAACGTATACCTGTGTCGTATCAGTAGGTTGCGAACTCCTCAAGCATGCTACTGTGCAGAACAGAAATCTTGAGTGGTAATTATCTGACGAATTCGTTTTTATGTGAAGTGACCGATAACAACGCACTGTGTCTTCAAAAAGAGATAGTTTGAAGGTTCTATTAGTGGCAGACTGCAATAGTATCGCTCTTCAAAGGCAAAAAACGTGGATAAACTATCAGAATACAACAGCTGTATCCTTCAGGTATAGCAAGGTGAGACTGTTCTTAAAGCTCACACCGGTTTGATCTCCATAACTATTATGGGATACGATTATGACAAATCGTCAGGACGATATTTAAGTAAACAGGAAACTCCTCTTTAGGTACTCGGGAAAGTAATCACTGGCTTGTCGTAAGAGTATAAGCCTTGTATTATGATTATAAATCAACTAAGTGAAGGAAGTCAAACTATATAATCTACTCGGGAACAATATCGCACAGAAGGAACGAAAATGGAAGTTACAACACAGGGAAGTGGATACAATATCACAGATGCGACGAATGGAACAGACACATTCTTCTTCTACAAGGTAGGTTTTATATTGTTTCGATATCTTTGTAAAAAACACTTTTTTTTTTTTGATCTACAATGTAACATGTCAGACAACGTTTTTCATTTTCTGTGTTTATTATCACATATTTCACGTGCTGAAACAGGAATTTGAACACAACAAATGTCATGCTTCGGTGTGAAGAAGAAAATGCATAATTGCTATATATAGGGTTAGCACACTGAAATAGTCTACCATCGTTACAAGTGAATGACATGCACCCTGTCTAGGAAGAAGATAGACTGCATTGTGTCACAATTTCAAGGGACTATCTTCAACTGCAATGTTAAATAAGCTATTACACTATAGTGTCTCATGGTTCAGGTCATGCAGCGTCCGTTCAAGTCATTGCTTGGAGTACCACCAGCAACAGGTTAAATTGTATACAGATCCAGCGAACTCAGTCTCTCTCCCATAGAAGTAATCAATAAAACAAGCATCGTGTACATTGTAAACAACAAAACAAATATTGCGTTTTCATGAAGGAGTTAAACCTAGTAGGGAAATATCTTGCTACATAGTCAACCTCTACGGTTCATAATGACAAACATCAAAATAGTATGATTTCGTAGGGCTATATCATTGATTGTGTAACAGATGGTAGAGAATACAAGCAAGTTCCCCTGTAACAGTTATAAATGACCGAAAGTCTTACCAAGACATACTAAATTACCGAAAGTCTTACTAAGACATAATACATTACCGAAAGTCTTACTAAGACATAATACAATACCGAAAGTCTTACTAAGACAGAATAAATTACCGAAAGTCTTACTTAGACATACTAAATTACCGAAAGTCTTACTAAGACATAATAAATTACCGAAAGTCTTACTAAGACATAATACATTACCGTGAGTCTTACTAAGACATAATACATTATCGAAGGTCTTACTAAGACAGAATACATTACCGAAAGTCTTACTAAGACATAATACATTCCCGAAAGTCCTATTCAGTCATTATAAAATACCGAAAGTCTTACTGAGACATAATAAATTACCGAAAGTCTTACTATGACATCATACAATACCGAAAGTCTTACTAAGACATAATAAATTACCGAAAGTCTTATTAAGACATAATGAATTACCGAAAGTCTTACATAGACATAATAAATTACCGAATGTCTTACATAGACATAACAAATTATCGAAAGTCTTACTAAGACATACTAAATTACCGAAATTCTTACTAAGACATACTAAATTACCGAAAGTCTTACTAAGGCAAACTAAATTACCGAAAGTCTAACGAAGACATAATAAATTACCGAAAGTCTAACTAAGACATAATGCATCACCGAATTTCTTACTAAGACATAATAAATTACCGAAAGTCTTACTAAGACATAATAAATTAATACAGTTTAGTCAGCTACGATTGACTGCGGTCAGGTAGCTTTCTATGTATTAATGTGAACAGCACTGGTTCAACATTAAACGAGTTTAATACCTGTAGACAGCCTGGGGTCAACTTCCCGATCAGACGTGAAAGGGTATTGGGTCAACTGTTCATATTTGTTGTTTAACAGACAGGTAATAAGTGTAACTTACGATGTTTTAGTTTACATGCATATTGAAGTAACAATGTAATGAATATGCGAGCCATCACGGCTACATGGTTCGGGGTAACACTGGTGGGTTCATGGTCACATTAGTGGTTGCGGGATTACACTCGGGATTGAGGGATTACACTTGTAGGTTCAGAGTCACACTTGTGGTTTCATGGTTACACTGGTAGGTTCATTGGTCACCCATGTGGTTGCGGGATTACACTAGTGGTTTCGGGGTTACAATAGTGGGTTCATGGTTACACTAATGGTTTCGAGGTTACACTGGTGGGTTCATGGTCACACTTGTGGTTTCAGGGTTACATTGGTAGGTTTATTGGTCACACTAGTGGTTGAGGGATTACACTAGTGGTTGAGGGATTACACTAGTGGTTGAGGGATTACACTAGTGGGTTCAGGGTTACACTAGTGGGTTCAGAGTCATACTAGTGGTTTCAGGGTCACACTAATGGTATTGGGGTTACACTGGTGGGTTCATTGGTCACACTAGTGGTTTCGGGGTTATGCTAGCAGGTTCAGGGTTGCACTAGTGGTTGATGTTAAATTGTATCGACATCGTCAACCAATATAGTAACCCTTCGAAGAGATATAATATTGGTTGCTTTAACATTTGCTTGTGTTACTGGGTTACACTAAACGTTGTTTAAAAGTATAGGTTAGCTTGTGTTACCGGGTTGGACTAAACGTTGTTAACAGTTATATGTTTGCTTGTGTTACCGGGTTACACTAAACGGTGTTAAAAGTTATACGTAAGCTTGTGTTACCGGGTTAGACTAAACGTTGTTCAAAGTTATACGTTTGCTTGTGCTACCGGGTTACTCTAAACGGTGTTAAAAGTTATACGTTTGCTTGTGTTACCGGGTTACACTAAACCGTGTTAAACGTTATACGTATGCTTGTGTTACTGGGTTACATTTAACCGTGTTAAAAGTTATACGTTTGCTTGTGTTACCGGGTAACAATAAACGGTGTTAAAAGTTATACGTTTGCTTGTGTTACCGGGTTAGACTTAACGGTGTTAAAAGTTATAGGTGAGCTTGTGTTACCGGGTTATACTAAACGGTGTTCAAAGTTATACGTTAGCTTGTGTTACCGGGTTACACTAAACCGTGTTAAAAGTTATACGTTTGCTTGTGTTACCGGGTTATACTAAACGGTGTTTAAAGTTATACGTTAGCTTGTGTTACCGGGTTACACTAAACGGTGTTTAAAGTTATACGTTTGCTTGTGTTACCGGGTTAGACTTAACGGTGTTAAAAGTTATACGTTTGCTTGTGTTACTGGGTTATACTAAACGGTGTTAAATGTTATATGTTAACTTGTGTTACCGGGTTAGACTTAACGGTGTTAAATGTTATATATTAACTTGTGTTACGGGGTTAGACTTAACGGTGTTAAAAGTAATACCTTTGCTTGTGTTACCGGGTTACACTAAACGGTGTTAAAAGTTATACGTTTCCTTGTGTTACAGGGTTACACAAAACGGTGTTAAAAGTTATACGTTTGCTTGTATTACAGGGTTACACTAAACGGTGTTAAAAGTTAAAGGTTAGCTTGTGTTACCGGGTTACACTAAACGGTGTTAAAAGTTATACGTTTGCTTGTGTTACTGGGTTACACTAAATGGTGTTAAAAGTTATACGTTTGCTTGTGTTACCGGGTCACACTAAACGGTATAAAAAGTTATACGTTAGCTTGTGTTACCGGGTTACACTAAACCGTGTAAAAAGTTATACGTTTGCTGGTGTTACTGGGTTACACTAAACAGTGTTAAAAGTTATACGTTAGCTTGTGTTGCCGGGTTACACTAAACCGTGTTAAAAGTTAAAGGTTAGCTTGTGTTACCGGGTTACACTAAACGGTGTTAAAAGTTATACGTTTGCTTGTGTTACTGGGTTACACTAAATGGTGTTAAAAGTTATACGTTTGCTTGTGTTACCGGGTCACACTAAACGGTATAAAAAGTTATACGTTAGCTTGTGTTACCGGGTTACACTAAACCGTGTAAAAAGTTATACGTTTGCTGGTGTTACTGGGTTACACTAAACAGTGTTAAAAGTTATACGTTAGCTTGTGTTGCCGGGTTACACTAAACCGTGTTAAAAGTTAAAGGTTAGCTTGTGTTACCGGGTTACACTAAACGGTGTTAAAAGTTATACGTTTGCTTGTGTTACTGGGTTACACTAAATGGGGTTAAAAGTTATACGTTTGCTTGTGTTACCGGGTCACACTAAACGGTATAAAAAGTTATACGTTAGCTTGTGTTACCGGGTTACACTAAACCGTGTAAAAAGTTATACGTTTGCTGGTGTTACTGGGTTACACTAAACAGTGTTAAAAGTTATACGTTAGCTTCTGTTGCCGGGTTACACTAAACCGTGTTAAAAGTTATACCTGAGCTTGTGTTACCGGGTTACACTAAACGGTGTAAAAAATTAAACGTTTGCTTTTGTTACCGGGTTCCACTAAACGGTGTTTAAAGTTATACGTTAACTTGTGTTACCGCGTTACACTAAACGGTGTAAAAAAATATATGTTAGCTTTTTATAAAAGGTAGGCAGGTGTTATGAAATATACCTGACACGCTGTGTAAATAGCGATTCAATCTTTAATTTGCACAATATACTTTTCTCAAAAAACTGTCAAACAATGACGGTTCTGTTCCATTAAATTTTGACTTCTTGGAGACACAGACATTTGCATTAATTCAATTTTCAAAGCACTCCATCAAAACTTTATCACGTTTAACACGTTTACCCCCTCCCCCTCCAACATAAACGCCTACGTCATTTCACGAATAAATATTAATAGAGCGAACGTGGTTCATTCAGTTTCTTTACATCTTTATTCCAACACCCTGCATCTTGCACTAATTAAAAACAGCTCTTTCTTTTCCTAATACAACGACCGCTGGAATATAAAACATGATAATGGATTAATATTTCTAGGAATGGCATCATCAAAGCTGCTTTGCGTTGGATAATCAAAGACATATCTATTTTTATCATATATACCCATATCCGTTGCTAATACTAATACCGTCATAAGATGATCCTTATTCGATCTGAGTGTATGGTTAGTTACAACCATATCACTAGTTCGTCGGCGAATAATCATCTCAGTATCTTTGTCTGTGCGGACAATGTCGTATTAAATCCATGGGAACTTGTCCTGTCTAAAGAGCCCACCACATGCACGTTGCTAGCTTACTTGTATAAGATGTATCGATATTATTCATAATCTTTAACGTTGGTGACTTTAAGATTTCACAAGGTTTTGGCTCTTATGAAATACTGATGGGTTTGGTTTGGTTTAATTTTGTTTAACGTCCTATAAACAGCTAAGGTCTATTAAGGACGTGCCTCCATGTGTATAATGTATGCAGGAGACGGGGTATATTGGTGTG